TCTAGTTCAATCAATGACCAGCAATCCAGAAATAATTCAAACATTGATTCAAGCCAACCCTCAAATGCGTGAGCTAGTTGAGGTAATTAATGTGCTCCTGTATCTCATTCGCCAAAGCATTCTCGTTTCCACGTCTTGTTTTACGTTTTCTGCCAGTTTAAGTAAAATAAATCTCTATATTTATTATTTGTGCATATACATGGATAACAATTATTTATCTTAATGCATTCCAAAAATGGCCTTTCTATGTTTTATCCAATAAATATGAGATTTTGTGAAATCATTACTAGGAGAAAGCATTATCTATAACTAGTATTGTTTATTATATTTTATTACTGTCATTGGCTTGCATTGTGATTATTGCCTATCTAATTAGCGCAATCCTGAAGTGGGACAGATGCTCCGAAATCCTGATCTTCTACGGCAATCTCTCGAAATCGCTCGCAATCCTTCTCTGATGCAAGAGATGGTGCGGAACTATGATCGAGCTTTATCCAATCTTGAGTCTCTTCCCGGTGGTATGCAACATTTGCAGCGGATATTTCAAGATATACAAGAGCCTATGATGGACGCTGTAAGGACCATGGGTGGCGCTAACGACAATCCTTTCGCTGATCTCGCTTCGGGTATTTTTGTTCATTCATCATTCAAAAACATACGTCCTTCGTTGTTTTATGTTCATTATTTTTGCCACATTTTATTCTAAATAACCAAGTTGTTGCTAAAGTAAATTGGTATTCCCGTAGTTTTAGCATCCTCTACTAAAGCGCATCACAACCCATCTGGCCAACTTCACTTTCATTATACTTACATTTTATTTTAATTTTATGGCTAGTCATTCATATCATCATTAATCCTTTAGGCGCTTTTACAACATGTCTAACTTGATATTGATATTAATGCTACATATACCTGCACATCTTTTTTCTCATGTTCTGCTTCATATGAGTTTCATATGCTTTGTATACTAATCTCCCTGCTTTCGTTGACGCGTGAGTTACGGATGGGCTCTCAGCTTAAAGCCTTGAAAGTTTTATCTGTCATTGCTTTTAACTCCTTTAGTCAAATTGATTATCCTTGTTTATAATTGTAGTTCCTCTCTCATGATTTGTTTTTTATCCCTTGTTGGCTAGTTTTGAAAAATGTTCTTATTCCTACTAAAGCTGGGCTGTCTTTGTTGCTTCTGAATCGTATTCGTTCTTAATGAATAGAACTTGATGCACTTATTTTTATACAGGATCTCTTTTTTCCTTATTGAATATTTTGCTCATCTCGACTTAGGCGGAACACATTCACGATCCACCAATTCAGATCAGCGTCAAGCTGCTCCGTCCAATGAGCCAATGCCTAATCCATGGGCTGTAAACAGTTCCAATAACGAAGCGAGACCTGGGATCGCGGGTGGCACTATGGCTGGCTCTAGGACTGTTGGTGGTGACCCAATGCAGAATATGCTCAGGCAGTTGGCCAGTCGGCCAGAGCTAATGGCCAATGCTTTCCAGGTACTAAAAGTTCGATGAAGAATTTTTTCACCAATTAAAAAAATCCTATGATTTATTAAGTAACGATTTATTTATTTAATTTATCAGCTGCTTTCTTGTGCACGAACTTCTTCCTATTCACGAGATTAGGACGAGTTATTATCTACTGCACTAGGTTTTGACATATTACGGGTCTTTTCTACGATAAAGTGAAGTTAACCAATTCCCAACTTGGCTCATATATTTTGTTGTACTGTCAAAATGTAATGCGTTATGTGAATATTATAGATGCCAATCATTCAGCTTATCTGATTTGCTCGCTCGATTTTGGTCAACCAGATTTTTGCAACACCTTAGATTTAGCTAGTGAGCGAAGCCAAATGTTTATCTTGATTTGGCCTTGGCTTTCTTATGATGAAAGTTTTAATGCATATATTTGTATTAATCCTATCTCGTACGCTCTTCCGTCTTCCTTTATGTCAAGTCCAAATGTCTGATTCTCGTCTTATCGTTTTACAATCCTTGTTATCATTGTCTGATAATCTTCAAGTTTTTACTTGCAATTTAATTTTTGAATTTCACACACAAGTTTTTTATATGACTCATAATGATTCTCTTGAATCATTTTAGTTTGACCTCATTTTTGCAACTTGGTCGGAGCGATAAGAGATTTCATCGAACGTAACTATCCTACGTCTTCTGCCATGACATTCATGATAATTTCCAGCATCCAACCGTTGACTTGTTACATTCAAAGACGCTTTGCCGGCATCATAAATGAAGTGCGCCATCCCTAGCACATAGTTACAACTTGTCAAAGTGATAAGCAAGAGCAATCCCCTTGGCCAATTTTCCGTTTAACCGTTAAGGCATCCTTCGCCCCTATTATTTATCCTAACTTCTAGTGCAGCATCTCTTTCTCTTAACCTCATTTCATATGGTCTTTTATCTACTCACATCATTCCGCGTTCTCGTCTTCTTCGATATAAAGCTTAGGGAGAAGAAGATGGTTAAACATGTCACAGTTTTTTAACACCTCGAATATGGCGCAAACGGGGACCGGAATTGAGGCCTTGGCTAGAAAAAGAGTGGTTTTTATGTGTAGCAGGGAACAACTGGTATGTGGGGTATTAGAGGGCTGATAAAAGTCAGAAGCCCTGCAAAAAGCATCTAAGCCGGCGGTGGAGGTAATTAATATTCACTAAATTTTATTAAAGCGATATATTCTTAGCGACAATGGAGGAACTGAGAGCACAGAATAGTGTAAATAGGTAAATAGGTCATATGAAATGAGGTTGATAGAAAGAGATATAGCATTTGAGGCTAGGACAACAAATAAGGCGAAATTCGATGCTGCAACAGTTAAACGGAAAATTGATCAATGGGATTGCTCTAACTTGTAACTGATGTGTAAACTTGTGTCATTGCTAGCACTTCTTATTGATGATGCCGGCGAAACTTTGAGAATTTACTAACTTTACTTTCCCATACTGGAAGCTATAATCATTAATATACCAGAGGACGGAGGACCTGGTACGTTCCACAAAATCTCTATTTATTCGACCAATTTGCGAGAGCGATGTCAAATCAACACTATACAGCCGCATGAGATCGCCTCGAAACAAAGTCTACACAATATTTGTCTTTGTATCTACCGTCCTTTCTATTGCTTTATTTGATATATTTGATTCTTTCGTTTGTTTTCCCACAGCTTTTCGATGTATTTACTCTTTTAGTGGATTTTTTCGTTTATAAGTAGCTTTTCGGGACTGTCAATACATCCTAAATATGCGATATATTCACGATATTTAATGTAAGGTAATAAGGGGACTATTTGTTGAATTTATTAGCAATGCTATGAGTAGACCGTACTTTTATATTGAATTTCACAAGCCTTTCTCTCACAAAAGGTGAACTGCAGTTTCTACGCCTATGTCTCATCAGTTCTAGCGAAATTCGAACTAGGATAGTGCACATTATAATCTCGGCACATTAGGCACATTAGTAATCTCGGAAACCTACTTAAGGGAAATCCAAGTAGTTTATTGTATTACTATAACTTTGCTTCGTCGATAATCCCACTGTACAATGCGATATCGAAAAATTATTGGTTTTCCTTTTATTTAATTTTTCTTATGTGAGCTCAAGGCATTCATGACAACATTGCGTAGTGGTTAACATATCAAGCTTATACGTTGTATTGTCATGGTTCGAGTTCCGCTTTGGGTGTTACTGAGAACTAGGCAGTCCATTTAGAATAAGACTACCTTTGGGAAAGCAAAGCTACTTGAAATTTAATTGAAATGTAAGGCCTACTCATATCATTATGGGAAAATTAAGCTAGAAGTCCCCTTATCATCTTAAACGAAATAAAGTGAATACATCTAATATAAAAGTTTTTACGTTTTTCCTTTATGTGTATTTTAGTTTGAACATCATTTAACCCTGACTTCTACTTGATGCTCACATTAAACAACATTTTTCGACCATTCTTGAACTAGATGCTGTCTTAAGTTATCATGTTAGTCTTTCTATTTTCGACAAATTTCATTTCTTTACAGTTTGTTCATTACCGTCATAATTGTACAGTCTACATAATCTCTTTAGGATAGTTGTTGAAAGCGTTTTCTCATTTCGTTAACTTTAGATGATAACCACACCATCCTGATCTTTATAGTAATTTATTTTAATTATATCGCTAGTTGTTATATGGCCTCTGAAATAGTAGCCATTCAAAGTGGTATCAAGTTGTCACGTTTGTCCATCTCATCAGTCCTTTTAGGAATCTTGTAATTTCTAGAGTATTGTAGATAAATTTGTTTATTATTAAATCACATTTTGGTTAAAATTTGGCCTCATCTAACCACAATCAACTACAACGTCAGTACACATTTCTATTTGATAGTAGACTTCATTTTATCGTGTTTTCAATGAGTTTTGACAATTTTACAAGAATGAGTCTCAGCTCTGATGATGTCCATCATATGATGGACGAAAGCTCAGCTCGTTTTACCTGTAAGGAGGGAGGAGGTCTTTGGGATTGCATCAATCTTAATGTCGTATAAAAGCCAAATGGGTGCAGTAAACCGGGATTTGACTGTCCTTTTCTGGTGAGATCGACGTTTGAATCTCTTTTTCATACCCATTCATCACTTTGAACGAAATAGAATGAATACATCTCATATTACTATCTCACTTTATCTGTTAATTTCATAAATCTTAGAGTATGTTCTAACTTTTCCTACAAATACAACTAAGTTGATAAAAAGATATCAAATATGCAAGATCCTAACACAATGAGGTACAGGTGGAAATTAGTAACCACATCGCAGATAAAATTGCATAATTTTCATAAGAATGTCTAAGCCAGTGGTTTCCAAACTTTTCATAGTCGCGACGCCCTTTTTGAGTAAAAAATTTTTCATGACGCCCTACTCTAAGTATTACTATTTTTAAGAAAGACATTAAAAAAGTTAAACTCGTGTATCCTTTTTTTATTTTATTAACATTAAATTAATATTTAATAATTAATGTGATAAATGAGCCTGAAAATCACTACACATTTTCT